GCATGCATATAAGCATAACCAATGGACATAAGACCCTGGGGGGTAGGGGAGGCCAGGGGATTTTCAAGGGCGGGGGGGGGGGGAGGACACATGTGTAGTACCCTTTAATACTTTAAGCAATAAAAAAAAGAGTTAGAGGTAGGCAAACATTTTCAGTCGTGAACAGATATGCATTTTTAACTATAAAGTGATAAATTGTTCTGAAGTTCAGAACATATGTAGAGACAGCTAGAGGAGAAAGAGAAGAAGAGGAGGGGAACCAATGCTGAATAATTTCCTTATATTAGGCACATATTAGAATGTTCTCATTGTGTTTAAAATTAATCTTTATAGCTTTGTGAAGTGAGAATATTGGAATTATATGAACAGATTTTACATATCATGAAACAGATTCAAGGGCAGCAGTACTCTTCTCAAGGCCACATCCCTCTAAGTTGCTGATCAGTTATACTTATCCATACATCTGAGGCTCAATCAGACTTGTACCACCTGAAGATGAGAAAACTGGGTATTTTTGTTCTTTTTTTTTTTTTTTACACTTAAGGATAGCTGCTTCTAGTTAAATTAAATGGCCCACACAAAGGCTAAGTATATTCTTACAGTAAAATAAGTCTTCAACCTAAGAGTTGCAGGTTCTTTTATTTTTCCATAACAAGCATCGGCCTTTATAGGAACAATGAGCACCAATGGGATATGGGTAGAGCACCATCAGCATTAGCTACAGGATGGTAATTTGGAAGAGAAAAGAAAAGCATCTGCCTACAAATCTGAACCAAACTTTTAAATAGACTCATCAGAATTAAGGCAGAATTTAATCTCCATTTCTCTGACACATGTCATATTTGTCAGTTCTTTGTAAACACAGGAAGAAAAAATCATGGATATTAATTATCTATCAATTTTTTGTTTTGTTTTGTTTGAGTTCTATATTAAAGGGGTTTTTTGTTGTTGTTGACATTATTACAGATATCTCCCATCCTCCCCCTTTACCCACCTCCAACTGAGCCCTCACCCCACCCCCACCTTTGGCCATCACCATACCATTACTTAAAGCTTCTAGTAGCAAACATTTAGTTATAACATCTAAAAGAATGGGAAGAAGAAAAACATAATAAAAATGTGTCAGATAATGCCAAAACCGGTTTGGCTCAGTGGATAGAGCGTCGGCCTGCGGACTGAAGGGTCCCAGGTTCGATTCCGGTCAAGGGCATGTACATGACTTGCGGGCACATCCCCAGTGGGAGGTGTGCAGGAGGCAGCTGATCGATGTTTCTCTCTCATCGATGTTTCTAACTCTCTATCTCTCTCCCTTCCTCTCAGTAAAAAATCAATAAAATATATTTTTTAAAAATGTGTCAGATAAAAACGAAATTAATTTTTAGAAATATATTTTGAATATTGCCCTAACTGGTTTGGCTCAGTTCTTAGAGCATCAGTCCACGAACTGAAGGTTCATGGGTTCCATTCTGATCAAGGGTGCATACCTTGGTTTCAGGTTCAATCCCCGGCCTCATTTTGGGTGGGTGTGGGAGACAACCAATTGATGTGTCTCTCTCACATCAATGTTGTTCTCTGTTTCTCCCTCTCCCTTCCACTCTCGTAAAAATCAATGGAAGAAATGTCCTCTGGTGAGAATTAACAAAACAAAACAAAAGGAACCCTCTTGTACTGCTGGTGAGAATGCAGACTGGTGCAGCCACTGTGGAAAACATTGGAGTTTCCTCAAAAAGTTAAAAAGTTAAAAATGGAACTCCCATTTGACCCAGTAATCCCACTTCTAGGACTATATCCTAAGAAATCAGAAACACCAGTGCACCCCTATGTTCATAGCAGCACAATTTACAATAGCTAAGATTTGGGAACAGCCTAAGTGCCCATCAGCAGATGAGTGGATTAAAAAGCTGTGGTACATCTACACAATGGAATACTACGCTGCTATAAAAAAGAAGGAACTTTTACCATTTGCAACAGCATGGATGGGCCTGGAGAGCATTATGCTAAGCAAAATAAGCCAGTTGGAGAAAGATAAATATCACACGATCTCACTCATTTTTGGAATATAATGAACGACATAAACTGATGAACAAAAATAGATCCAGAGACAGAGAAACACCAAATGGACTGTCAAACCTCAGAGGGAAGGTGGAGCAGGGGTAATAAGAGATCAACCAAAGGACTTGAATGCGTGTGCATTAGCATAACCAATGGACATAGACACTGAGGTGGTGGGGGCTTGTCCTGGGGTGTGGGAGTGGCCGGGAAAGGGGGTCAATGGGAGAAAAGAGAGACATATGTAATATTTTAAACAATAAAAAAATTACAATAGAGCCCAGCCTGTGTAGCTCAGTGGTTGAGCATCGGTCTATGAAACAGGAGGTCACAGTTCGATTCCCGGGTCAAGGCACATGTCCGAGGTGGGGGACATGCAGGTGGCAGCCATCAATGATTCTTTCTCATCATTGATGTTTCTATCTCATCATTGATGTTTCTCTCTCTCTAAAATCAATAAAAAATATTTTTAAAATTATAATAGATACAAATTAATTAAAAAAAAACTACTATTGTAAAAGGCACCTTAATCTTTTAAATGGAGATAAAAAGACTGAAAATATAATGTATGTATTACTCAACATGCCAAATCTTGTCCCTGCACACAGTTGAGTTGTTTCTTCCCTGTGTAGGTGGCACGAGAAATTATTACCCTCACGAGAGCCTTGTTCCCCAGAGAGTTTCATGCCTGTGCAATTTTCTCCTTGTTCTCATTCATTAGGCTGTGAAATTTCACCATGACTCTGCATAACATTATTTTAAAAGGACCAGACTCTGAGCAGAGCTCATTTGGTCATCATTTAGTGAAGTGAATGCTAATACTTTTAGTATACATCAGCTTCTCCCCAAACTGAGTCTGCAACCATGGGCAGGGACAACACCTTAAAACAAAACTTAAATTGATTCATGTCAAAAAGTTAAGCCCTTACTAAGGTATTTTATATATCCATCCTCATTTGCTATTCACAGATATGATTCTGTAAAGTATGTGGATGAGAGCACTTTATCTCTATGTCACAAATAAGGAAATTGATATCAACAGATAATTTTCTGAAAGCAGAAAAATCCACAGCAGATGAAATAGTTAATCCCAGATTTCCTAGCTCCACGTTAACAATGTTTTCTCCATCTCTTCATGCTTGAGGGACCTTGGAAGCTTTTGATTAGTATGGGGAGGGAATTTCTCCAATATTGTTTACACATTCTCCTGGGGCTCAGTTTCTGATTTCAGACTCACAATTCAGGATTGGATCTTCCTTCTTTTCAAGAGCAAGGTAAGCTTCTATATTCAACATTCACTTATAGTGAAAAATGTAATTGATACAGAAGCAGTAGGGAAGCTACATCTACTTTGAGCTCATATCTGGTTGTTTGAACCCTTTTTCTGAAACATTGGCATTAGTATAGAATTAAAATGCAAAGCACTTTAATCAGCAAAGAGCAGAGTAATATTAATGAAATCCCATGCTGCCTTCCTTAAGAGAATAACAAAAATCTATAACAGATGATACTCTGATTGAGTAGTTGGTAGATGCTTCTTTTTACTATGAGTTGACTTGTCACTGAAGAGACAGATAACCAAACAGGGTAAAATGACACTTCTTTAGACTCCAGAAGAATCATCATAAAGCTACCAAGATCCTTACTCTATTTGACAATCATTTCCTCACACTCTCACCCTTCTATTACTTGCTCATCTAGAAAATCTGACAATGCAGTGATTAAGTCATAGGCATTGGGACCAGTTAGACATAGGTTTGCATCTTAACTACTTCATACTAGGTGAGGAATTTTTAAAAGGTAGATAACCTCTAGAATCATCCATTTCATTGACTGTAAATTAAACTGTGTATGTGTAATCTAATTCCTTCCCTTCCTCCTGTGCTATTTATCATCTATTTATCAATCAATCATCATTAGTATCATCTAGTATCTATATTTTTCACACTCCATTTATGAGACAAACTACATGTAATCAGTAATTTTAAATTGTTACTAACCTCAGGAGATATACTAATATCAATTGATATATTGTGATGTTCTCATATTTTATATTATTATGTGTGTGAGGTGTTGAAAAATACGAATAAAAAATAATGTGTTTAGGAGTCAGGAGAAAGATGGTAGAGAAGAGTGATTACCAAGAATGGATATTTTTCAAAAGGCTTCAATTAAAAATACAAAGATTTGTGCTTTCTCGTGAATAGATCTTCAGATTAGTATCAACTCTCAGACCACGAATTTTCACACCTCAATACTTCAATATCTGCAATCCAGCTAAGTGCTGATAAGAATGAAAGTAAGAATGAGTGTAAGGAGGAAAATTCTTCAATACAATCTAAATGTGGATATAAAAAAAATATTAAGAAAAAGAGGACCTTGAGAACATTACGCGAAGTGAAATAAGTCAAACAGAGAAAGCTAAGAACTATATGATTTAACTCATATGTGGAATATAAAACTGAAACTTATGTACACAAACAGCAGTGTGGTGGTTCCCAGAGGGAGGGGGGTGGGAGAAGTGGGTCCTAATATAAGGTGACAGGAGAAGATTTGACTTTAAGTGGTGGATACATGGTCCTATATACAGATTTTGTAAATTAGTAATCCACACATGTAACCTGTATGTTTATGTAGACTAATATCACCCAAATAAAATTTAAAATAATGGGAATAAAAAAGAAAGAAAAAGAGGATGGATGGACCTGGAGTGCATGATCTCACTCATTTGTGGAATATAATGAACATAAACTGATGAACAAAAATAGATCCGGAGACAGAGAAACACCAAATGGACTGTCAAACCTCAGAGGGAAGGTGGTAGTGGTGTTGTGGGGGGGGGGGGGGGGGCAGCGGCATAATAAGAGATCAACCAAAGAATCATATTTAAAATAATGGGAATAAAAAAGAAAGAAAAAGAGGACTTGAAGATCCCTATGCTATCATTCAAAATGACAACAGAGTAAAAAATACATGGGTGGGGGACACAATACCTGAGTGGGAGAAATTGAAAAGGCAATTCAAAGATTAGGGCTACCACACTTCAAACCCACTATCTGCATCTGTCACCTAACTGACCTAAACCAGCATAGGGACCATGGTTCTACACTAATAATATTATAGCCAGTACTCATCAGGATTGTGCTTAACACCCACATTGTGCTGTTTTTATGCATCATTTCTTTCAACTCTTATAATAATTCCTTGAAGTAAGTCTCAACACCACCTTCATTTTGCTGGTGGGTAAAATTAGTGAAATTAAGTGACAAGAAGAAACTTCTGAGATGTTCTAAATTAAATTGCAGTGTCCAGAGAGTGAGATTACTAACTTGTTAGTCTGTTAATGGCTGCTGGCCCATTGACAAACAACTGCTCACATTCCTTCCATTGCCTGTTGAAATTTCAGATGAATTTCTGAAGATCATTTTAGCTAAGCACCAGCTAACTCCAGGAGCCTCTGCTTATTGTTCACATGGGGAATTTCTGGCTGCTGCCTACAACCAATCCACAGGAGTGGACATTTCTTTATGCAGACCTGTGCCTATCCCAGAGCTGGCCCCACCTCACCTCTTCAACCCCTTTGCCTATAGCTAATATAAATCCTGTCAGACTCTCTCTTTCCTCTCCCTTTCCCCTACTTGATATATAAAAACACATACACACATACAAAACTCTGGGACAATGGACACACTGTCTTTTGTACCTTGCCATGCTACTGAGAGCTTAGACTCCATGCCCCAGGACCAGTCTTTTTTGGCTAGTATTTTGATTCAATAAAAGCTTACTTACAAAAAGACTTTAAGTTAAGCCATGAAAGTTAAAGATTTTTTAACATAAGACCAATGTTTTCAGGTAGTAAATGGTAGGGCTGATATATGAATACACACACATATTTTTCTCAGAGCCAAAGCTTTTACACCCAATGCTATACCTTCTCTTTGGAATTGGCTTTGTTGGTTGTGCATGCCTCTAATGCTGAATTTAGTCTACTGCACCTACTACTTATTTGTGTATTACTCGACTATGCTACTCTATGAATTAAGTTAGTTACAATAGAAACAACTAAATAAATTGAATGAAATTAAATTTTATTCAATTTCATTAATAGCATTTAAGTTGGGAACCACTCTGATTGAGTCTAAAGCTTGGCTTGGTCCATTAATCCTGTGTAATCTTGAATAAAGTACTCAATCTCTTTGTTGCCAAGTTATTAAATATATAAATGGAAAAAATAACTAATCAATCTGATTAATCAATGAGAGGATTAAATGAATATATACACAATGCACCTAGCATGTGAGCACTACAGTGTAAGTATAAGCTGTTAGAAAACTATTTGATTTATGAGACAAATTCATTCTAGGCATGTAAACTGGACAATTCACTTTATTCATATACAAAATCAAGATGTTGTGAAATTGATCTGAAAAGACCTTTCTTCCCCTTATCTACTGTTTAGATAAGCTATTGCTAAATTGTGTTATCATGCCCATGCTTTAGAAATGGAGAATATTGAAAAACAAATTATTTATTTAATAAAATAATACTTCTACATTTCAGTTCTATGCAACCATTTTGTTTTGTTTTGTTTTTTGCTGATCAATGTGTTCCTTTACTTCTCTTTGCTATAGAGCATCTCATGAACTCTCAAATCACATCCATGGAGAACAGAGGTGAGAGAATTCATCCTGCTAGGACTAACCAATGCCCCAGAACTGCAGGTCCCCCTCTTTATAATGTTCACCCTCATCTACCTCAACACTGTGATTGGGAACCTGGGGATAATCATGTTGATCCTTCTGGACTCTCGTCTCCACACTCCTATGTACTTTTTCCTCTGTAACCTGTCTCTGGTGGATTTGTGTTACTCCTCAACAATAACTCCAAAGGTGATGGCTGGGTTTCTAACAGGAGACAAAGTCATCTCCTACAACGCCTGTGCTACTCAGATGTTCTTTTTTATAGTCTTTGCCACTGTGGAAAATTACCTCTTGGCCTCAATGGCCTATGATCGCTACACAGCAGTGTGTAAACCCCTACATTACACCACCACCATGACAACAGTTGTCTGTGCTTGTATGGCCATAGGCTGCTATACCCTTGGCTTTCTGAATGCTTCTATTAATGTTGGAGACACATTCTGCCTCTCTTTTTGTTTGTCCAATGTGATCCATCACTTTTTTTGTGATGTTCCAGCAGTCATGATTCTGACTTGCTCTGGTAAACATATCGGTGAACTGATTCTTATTCTTATTTCAAGTTTTAATGTCTTTCTTGCACTTTTTGTTATCTTGATTTCCTATCTCTTTATATTTCTTACTATTTCAAAGATGCACTCAAGACAGAGATATCAGAAGGCTTTGTCTACCTGTGCTTCTCACCTTATTACAGTTTCCATATTTTATGGGACTGTCACAATTATGTACTTACAGCCAAGTTCCAGTCATTCCATGGACACAGGCAGAATCGCATCTGTGTTCTATTCTATGGTCATCCCCATGCTGAACCCTCTGGTCTACAGCCTGAGGAACAAAGAGGTCAAGAGTGCATTTAAGAAGGTTGTTGAGAAGGCAAAATTGTCTGTTTCATAATAATGCATAGAATCTACAAAGTTATTTCATCCTTCTTAGATCTTCTCCATGCAATAACTCAAATGTTAATGACCATTTGGGATATTAGAACAAAAGGTTTGTCTGGTGTTATTTATTTCTTTAGTTAAGAAATAGTCCCAATCATTTAAAATGCATCAAAAATAATAATGGTTTTAAATGAAGTTTATTGTATATGTTTTAATTGGCACATTTTCTCCAGAGCTAAATAATTATGAACTTAATAAATTCATGCTTCAGTCATTCCTGAGTGATTTGGGACAAAAAAGCATATGCATGTGAAAGTTTTCACAGGTAAATAGCCATATTCGAATAAAGGCAATAAAGAAGGTGAAGGGATTAGCTAAAGAGTATATATGCATACCCCCGCGGACACAGACAATAGTTGGTAAAGGACAAGGGTAAGGAAGACAGGGGTGGATGGATATGAGCAAAAGGGGGGAGGGGGGAGAAGAGGAATACCTTCAATAATGTCAACATTAAAATTTTTTAGGATGAGGACACATTTGTAATAACTTAACTAATAAAAATAAATAAATAAAAAATTTTTAATAAAAAAGGGAGAGATGGTTAAATCATTTTTACCTTAATCTTTTGAATACCAATTCTTTACTTTTTTAAAATTGCTCTGGCATTGATAATAATTTCATTTCTTGAAATGGTTAATGCCATTCATTCATACTTTTGTTAAACTATATCATGTCTTATCACTTTCCTTTCATTCATCCTACTTCATTCACCCTGGTTTCTAGCAATATTGGGCAGCTCCAACCTTGCCCATATTTCAGCTTCTTTGTATTTGCTGTTTCCTCTACATAGAATATTCCCACACTCATTTCAGATGGCTGGTTAAATGTTACCTATTCAGGGAGGTTGTATAGACCTGTCATGAACTAATTTATAAAACAGTCACTCCCATCCCATGGATTTTATTTTTCCCTAAGCCTGCTCTATTCTTCATCGTTATCATCAACATTCAGCTCTAGAATTCATTTATTCACTTGTTCATCTATTTCCCTCAACTTGAGTAGGAGGTCCCTTTGAGTATTAGCTTAATCTGGTTTTTCATTAGAAATAAATCTTTGAGCCTCGATATAAAAATAATTTTAATTTGCATTGAAAGAACTCCAGAAATTCTAAACTATATGGAGAGAAGTAAGCTGCAAAAACTCTATATGCTTCAAGGGGAAATACCACCAATATTCATTTGATAATGACCCCAACTTCTTGCATGAAATTAGTAGTCTCAAAAAACTTTCCACCCCAATACTGAATAGCTCTTCCTCTTTTGAAATTCTTCAAACTATTTACCTGCCCACTTGCAGCCAACCAGTGATTGACAAAGGTGCTGGAGACCAGTTAGAACATCTCTTTCATTTTCAAAAAACTTATCTTAATAAAACTCTTGCCGATCATACAATGACTCAGTATTTATTCATGTTACTCAATAAACTTACTCTCTTTTCTAACACTCTTGAACTCCACTGAAATGAAAGGGACTAAAGATAGTTTCCTTTGTCACAAGTTACTGAACAATCAATCTGTTAATTTTGTGTGGGCCATGGTTTTGTGTTTGGTATGTTTTAAAAGTGATAATGAAGAATAATGAATCAGAAAAAAAAAGTATTCAAGTGGTTGGAACAAAGGTCCAAGGAGAACAGTAGAAAATTGAGTTATACCCAGAGAAAGTAAGTCTCATAGAGAAATATCTCCCATGGTCAGGTTTGATGGGCCTTTCTAATGTCAATTCAGCAAGATTTCTAAACTGGCTAGTGTGTATTTTCTGTTATGAATGAGAAGTTTATTTTTTGTATTCATCTTTACACTGGCCTAACATTATTTATTTACTGGGTGTGCATGTAGAATGAACTAAGTTTTCTTTTTAGTTCATGAGTTGCTGGACATAAAGAGCCATATCTTGACTAGATGGAGAGGATAGCTTAACCTATTCAATAGCCTGG